GCAGGAATGGCACCCAGTGTTGTACAAGGCTTCCCAAACCATAACCTTAGGCTTTCCCACAATAGCCCTTTTGCATCTGAATCCAGCTCTTCAGAATTTCCTTCCATGATCTCAGCCAAATCTGTAGCAAAGAGAGCAGTTGCCAAAGTTGCTCAGCATGACAAAGTACCTCACCCAGTTGGCTTTGTGCCTCCTCCTCCTCCATGCCCTGGGAAGGTTCGCCATTTCAAGATTTAGGCTGTGTCCCAGATATGGCAATACAGCTCACTGAAGGACCAGTGTGCAGCAGCAGCAGCAACACACAGACCACAAGTGCGAATAGATGAGAACACTTGACTCTGAGCCCAAATTGAGTTTCCCTCTCCAGACAGCAGAGCTGTGGGCAGGATCTTGCAAAGACCTGCTTCAAAATGTAGGTGATTACAACGCTGTTTCCTCTACATATAGGGATGTTCTAGTTAAAATACAGAAAATACTGTTGCAATGAAACTGCTGCAGGAACTATACAACAGTTGTAGCTTTATGATAGAAACACCATCCAAAAGGTTACTTCACAATAAAATGTTCAACAGAAATGCTTTGTTACCTTCTATCTGTGTATATTTTCATTTAGTTGAGAAGTATATCCTTCACAGCATTATGCGTCATATTCTGGGCTTGATTTCAAAAACAGTAAGCTCCTGCACTTCTCATCAGCTTCACTGGGATCTGTGGGTGCTGAGCACTGCAGAAATCAGGTCAGTCCTTTCTTTTGATCATACACCAATAACACTACAGCAGTGGCAGGAAAAAATGTATTTTCCCCTTCCATCTTCCCTTCCTAGCATTAACCTAAAATTATCATATCCAACAGAAGTACCTCAATACTTTTGGACATGATATAAGAGCATCCATGTCTATAAAAACAACAAAGAATCAGGACATACTCACTGCTGTGCAGGATGAAAGCATCGGTCCTACCAGACAAGCACATGTGTATTCTCTGGCTTCCAGCAGATACCCGCGTGTGATATGAGCCTGTGTGCATATGAGGGAACACCAATTTGAGGGAATAAAAATATACATTAGGCAAGAATCTCATGTAGTAGCACTCAGACAGTGATGGCTATTTACCATTGCAGTCAAATCTTCCCCAAATTTCTGACATGAATTAGAGGCAAAATCTATTCTAGGTACAAAAGTAATAAGGGACAGGGGCCAGAAGAATCTTTTTTGCCAGCCAGACTAGAATTCTGGAGGCCCGGGGGGAACAGTCTCAAAGATAGTCATGAATCTTTAACCAGGAACAGCACTTGCTACAAGATAATTATCATGAAGGCAGTAAAAGCTGCAGAACACATGTCATTTCTGAACTGTTTCAAATCACCTATACTGTTACAACCTTCCAGTATTCAGTAAGCAACACAACTAACATTTGTTCTTGATGTCAATGCAACAGGTTGCTATACAGAAAGATTCTGCTCTGCTTTGTCAATGGGGAAAGGAAAATCTGTAGGCACTTGCACCAGTGCTTCAGCTGGGTGTGCAGAGGTGAAAGAAAAAGGAAAATCAGCCCAAAGTCTGCAAGCTGTAGTCTAATGTGATGGCAACACACTGCTGACAAGCTCTCCCCATGCAGGCAGCAGCTCTCACATTTCAACAAGATGCTGAGTTCTCGCAGGAAGTCTGTGGCAGGCAATTGCACAAGCTGCTGCCAGTCAATTGCTCAGTGATATTTTGCTTCTCTGTAAAGCCGTGACTCCAGCATGCTCTGCATGCAGCCACTCATTCAAACAGTGCAAGTACTGAGCTGCAGAAATTCCTTGAAGCAGGGAGGCAGGTGGTCCTCCCGCCCCACTGCATGAGACACGGTACAGGAATGAATTAAATTACTGTTACTGTGATCTGCATTACTATATTATCAGGTACATGTGACTGAGTTTTTAACTTGCCTCGCCAATAGTTTTCCTAGTTGTTTGTATTTTTAAAACTAGAAATCACCTTAACTAAACCATACAAATTACTTTGTATATAATTAAGTGGACACTAAGGTACGAAAGAGATTCATTCCCAGGCTTAGAAAGTTATCTATCCAATGGCAGAGACAGTATCTTTATAAAAGGTATCCCTGCCCCTGGGGATCTCTGAGCTCCAGAAATGCTGCATCTTCTTGTTGCCTTTTCCAACCACACAAAGCACGGATGTGTAGCAGAACATCTGCAGCCTCCACACTTTACAGATGTTCAACTACACCTGGTGTAACTACTCCATTGTTTCCTAAAACGGGGAGAAAAGGAAAAAAAAACACACCAAAAAAGCAGAATTTTTTTGTGCATCCCCCTTAGTAGGTGCACTCATCTTCTTTCTTCTTAACATTTGCTTTCTTAAGGACACATTTTGCACTCTTAAGGATACATTTCCATGTCTCCACCCAATACGGCCCCATATTAATGCACCTGGAGCTAGTAACCGATACAGTGTTAAGTAACAGATTTTCTGGGCAATGAGTGTTGCAAAATGGCAACACATGAATAATTTTGTCAGGTATGCATCACTGGCTGACAATGTTTTTCAGCTTTTTCAAACCCTGTTTTGCTAAAGCATATGTATTTCATGTGCTGCTTTGTCTGGAGATGCTCAGATTTCCCAGCTGTGTCCATGTTTTGAGGTCAGCTACTTCAACAGAGACATTTTTTCCCTTCCAGTGGGAGGAAGAGTACAAAGAACAGAGTCAGGGATATAACAATTCCCCATTATAAGAGGGACCGACACAGCCAGTACTAACTGGCACCCATCTCCATAGAAATGCCATGTTCTGTAAGGATAAAGAAATGAGTTATTATTCTTTAGCCACAGGGGAAGCATTCCCAGGCACAAGGAACAATGTGAGTGAGTCTGCATTGCTGCTTCTGCTGTTCCTGTACTATGGCTACAGCAGTGCTTCTCAACATTCATCCCTTGTATCCTCTCCCTCCAGGATACACTCCATACATTATCTTCAGGCTAGTGGACATGTGCCCTTCTCTCCTGCTCTCTGAATTTTCCACCTCTGCAATCAACCAAGGTCTTCTAAGCAGGGTTTCAGCCCCAGTGCTGTTTCAGGTCTTCCTGGCTGTATATGTAATCCCACACAGTTTTCTATGGATAGTTGCTGGGGTAGCTTCTGCTGTCTCCCAGAACATGCTTTGAGCACTGCTGGCTAAAGAGCCAAGATTATTTTTGCCACCAGTGAAAAAACATGACAATATATAAAATTTTTTAATCCCCAAACTTTGCAGTAGTGTTAAACAGAGACAATTATGTCCTTTGCTTGTGCTTTTCCTTCCTCACGCAATACAGCCTCAATTCTCAAACCCAAAGGTACTCAGTGTCATCCAGCAAATAGCCAGGATTACAGAGGCTCACAGGACACAAAATGAGGGCCAGGGAAATGGTTACCAAGCTTTTGGTACCCTTCAAGGCAAAATACTGTAGAATTGTCCCTTAGTAGAAAACCAATGACTTTCACTGGGATCCCCCCCATGTAATGGTGGTTGTCGCTCCTCCAGATCTTCAAGATAACAGCTATTTGTACAGCTACTCCCCCTTCTCTCCCTGGAGTTCCTCACTCGTTAACCACAAGGCACACTACTGTCATTTCAAACTAAATGTTCTCCAGGCAGAATTTTTCCATGATCCTTTTTCTTCTGTAGTCAGCAAATCACTTGAGAATCAATAGTGGGCACAGTGCAGTCTCTTAGCTGACAAATCAACCTCTAAATTCAGCAGTGAGGGGTAAAGTCAAAGGCATGAAAAAACCTGCCCCGCTTAGTGTGAGCTCTGTGATACTATGGGGGGAGCAGCTAAGCTAGCAAATGGCTCCCCCCAAGTCGCCATCTACAGTCACAGCAGGATCATGTTATTTACTATTGCTGAAAAGGAATGAAAGCAGAGCACTGCATAGTAAAATAATTAAAATACTGATATTGCTGGATCCATTTCCTTATGTTTCTCCCATGGCTTCATACAATTTAAACTGAGGCAGGCTGTGGCAGTTGTCAGAGAAGCCAAGGAGCTAGAGATTAAGCAGGTGGGACTCTTCCTTGAGCCAATTCTGACCAGATGATCTAAAGCAGTCAATAACACTGAACAAGGACCTTTGGCACCAGGACAAGTATAATGACCCTGAGGTCTGTAACTTGCTTACAGGCCACCTTCCCCTCCCCTCTCTGCATATATTTTTAGTCAGTTCTTATTTTGTCACTAAGTTTGGTTGTCAGGCAATAAAAATGCAGCACCATGTTACCATTAGCACAGGAATTCATATGCAACTGTACCTGCCTCTAAACCCACAGGAATATAACACTAGGCATTGCCAGGTAGGGGCTGAAGCCAGGTGCAGCCAAGAGGTTAGGATGGAAGGAGATACAAGGAAACAAGACTTGCTTTTTGGCATCAGAGGCAACATGTAATGATGACAGGTTCACAGAGTGCTTTGCACAATATGGCAGTGAGAACAAAGTCAGAAGTTGGAGAAAGATGGGATGAAACAAGAAATGTTCAGGGCTCAGGGAAATCAGAGTGGGGGGTCAAATACCTTGCAGATGTCAATAAACATACGGAGTTTTAGGCAAGAAAAGAAGAGTGGGCTGAAGTCAAGGCACTGAGAGGGAACAAATTCTCAAACGGAGCCTTCAATAGCCTGAAACCTTTTGACGACCCAGGTTCACTTATTGCCTATTCCCTCCATCCTCTCAGAGCAGCTCATTTTGCACCATCCCAACAACAGAAGTGAAGTCTTTGGGGTGAGAACAAAACTCACTACGTGTATGCTACTATATTCAAATGCAGTGAATGTTAAGTCCCAAATAAACACAATGGAAAAGAAGACACCATGATGAAACCATTAATTCTTTACATTGCCTTGTTACCATCTTCTCTAAGATGACTTAGTGGCTTGAACAGGCCATTTATCCACAGGCTTCTTATCTGGACATGAACTGCATTTTGCTGCAGCTGCTGAATGCAGCTCTGTGTGTATATTCTTTTCCCTTGTGATAATGTCAAAGTTATATGATCTGCCCAGGGAAGTCTGAACTGGAGATGTAAAGCCAGAGGGAGAAAGAGCTCACTGGCCTCAGAGGGAGAGACAACAATTTCATAAAACCTCATAATAATTGACTTGGTGTTTGCTGTTGCAGCTGTAGGTTTAAAGGTCATGGTCATTACATAATAAAACAGGGACACGTCTCTTTATAAAGAGACATGGATTCATCACAGAAGTCTGCTATTTTATGCACATCAGCCTCTCCACGCTGACTTACCATTCTGATCTCCTGCACTGGTTTTCTGAGCACCATGGTTTTACTTGTTTCAATGCTCTTTGGCATACAGGCACTTTGCTGCTGGGCTGCCTCTCTTCCTGCCAGTGAAGCAGCAACTACTTTGCTCTCCCCTGCCTGTGATGACACTGCAGTAGAGAAGGCTGCAGATCTGGCTCTTCGCCAGATCAATGCTGACCGAAAAGAGGGCTACATACTCAGACTCAATAGAATTTTCAATGTCCGAGAACATCCTCAGGTGAGTTACCTGCTTGTTCTGTATCTGTTTCTCCCATGATGAGCCCAGTGTCTATCACTATTCCTTAGCAATATCTACTTGCACTGAGAAATATTTCAAAAGGCAAATGTAAAGTTGCATTCACAGGACTCCAGAGGCCATGTCAACTTTACGCATAGATGACTAGAAACAGTTTCATCACCACAGTGGGCAATTAGAGAGCAAATCTGAGTCACAATTCTCTGCTGCCTGCCCCTGGAATAGCTCCAGGCATCAGTTTAAATTTGGTATGAAACACCACTACTCTGATTTAATTTCTTTTTACACCTTTCTCCTGCTGCCTTGAGCAGTTGGAGTGCAAAGGCTATTAAGTCATTGTGCATTTTGCACAAAAGATGTAAGCTCTTACAGGTGTAAATATGTCCAGCTTGGGACCAGGGAATTCCTTAACAGACCTGTACATGATTACTCATTCTCCAGGAGAAATCTGAAACCAGTTCAAGTACAAAAATTACACTGGAAATACCTATGGAATATCACTCTCACATTCTTAAGTATCTTATTTCTCTATGTGTGCTTGATTTATTATTATTTTGTGTTAAAATAACCAAATCTACTGTCATTAGCCAAGGACAACCTGAAATGCGTGCACAGTGCCCACAGCACACAAGGCACTGTGGAGGCATGCTACTAACACTCCCTGCCATGCTTGCTCACGTCCCATAACCTTAGCTGAAAGGCTGAGTTCTGAACACTTTCAAGCTCATTGCCAGATGTTTAGAGACCTGTACCGGCAAGGATATGTCACTGCTTCCTGCTGCTCTCACAGGGACATAGTCTGTGCTGACATGCTGTGGCCTCCGGCAATCTGAGATCCCATGACTGAAGATGCACCCTTTGCTGTGCTTTGCACTGTGTTCTCTATATGTTGCTCCAGTGACAGAATGTACCCACTAAGCAACTGGATCAGTTGACAATTTTTTCCACATGAGATGCCACTGAGTTGGCTGAGAAGCAACACCACCAGTCATGGAGTTACGTATTTATCCCCCATCCTGGGGCTATTTCCTACTGACAATACTTAGAGCAACCTTATGACCAACTTAGAGTGCAGCACAGTGGGTGCAGGCAGGCTGTAAACCACTTCATTCCTCTCCCTGCTCCTCCCTTCACCTGTGTATATCCCAGCACAGAGAACTTTGGTCCTTGTTAGCAATTTGCTCTTATTCCATTGGGGCGTACTTTGTTCTTTGTTCATTTGGGGTTTAATTTACTTTTATTCTTATTTCTTGCATCTAATATTTTTATCCTGTAAATAAGGTGTTTCCAGAGACTGTAATAACAAACTAGACAATGTATTTGTCATGCTTTTGCCTCTGCTGAGACTGAGTACACAGCAGCAGTCAGCTATGTCAGGGATGTTCATGGACAGTAGCAACCTTATGCAAAAAAAATAAAGAGGTGTGTTTTTTTTTCATCAGTCAGTGTTAATTCCTCCCATGTTTTTAACCAATACCCAGGATAAAAACATTTTCAAAGTTACTCCTAATTCAAATCTGCCCTTAAGCAACCTGTGGCTCAATTTTGCTCTAATTAGAACTAATGAGCCATCTGCTAGTAAGTTATATGCAAGTAGGACAGAGCCTTTCTTTCATATGAGACACTCATGATTAACTTAACTGACAGGCACTTAAAAAGAATTACAAAACATGCCAAAATATTTCATTTCTTTCCTTTGCACCAGGTCACCCTGCCACAAAGGGGATGCTGTGCTGCTGCTGCTGCATCTCTCCTGGCTCCCAGGCTCCCTGTCTTGCATTGCAGTGGCAACCCTCTCATCCGCAGTGCTGAGAAGGGATCTTTTTGGCAATGCAGAAAAGATGGCAGCTTTTACTCAATACTAAGCAGATACCAAAAGGCCTTTGCATAACAGTCTTTTAATGAAAATTAAAATAAGGATGATGAAACCTTCAGAGATCTGCTGAGCTCTGAATAAACCCCAAATTATTCTTTCCCCAGTGGAGGATGATACATACAGAAGCAGGTAGACAAAAGGATGTGTAGATTTTATAATAAATGCTTTGACCTATTAGAGCTGATATTAGACAAGAGTGCGCCAAGCAATGGGAAACAGTTTGGTTGCATTTTGTATTTCCAAGATCACCAAGCTTTACAATAAGTCTACATGATTCAGCTGAGTAAACCCACCTAACACCAAACATATTTTATTATAAGAACATTTCTTTAATGAGATATGTGTGTGCTTTTGCCTCCAGAATACCTGAACTTGAAAAGCTCAAGTCACTAGTCCCAACTTTGTGACTTCTTAGAGATAGCAATTTTTCTTGGTCCTTATATCTTCATGTAGGATAGTCTTAGTGATGTTTTTTTTTTTATCATACAGCCTATATTTAAAGTTACAAGCTTGTATCAAATGCTGCACTAATAAAAAACCACCTTTTCAGCAAATGCCGATAACTCTTTGGCCAATCTTACTTTCTGTTTACTGATTTAACCTAGATCAGCTATCATATTAAGGAGACATATCATCATGGTGTTTAAGTACCTTGTATGTGAACGGAAAATTATGATTAGTTCCTTCCACAGAAAGATCTATGCAGCCAGGTGTGGGGACACTGCCTTGCCACAGTACGTAGTGTTGCTGCACCTCAGTTTCACTCTTTGTCAAAATAGCTTTTGATCTTTTCGTGACCTTCAAAACTACACTTATAATTAAACCTCAGGATTAATGTAGGCAAACACTGAGAGCTCAGTGCAAGCATTACCAGATTACTTCATAGATTACTTAGGGAAAAAAGAGGATACAAAAATATAAAAAATGGTATAAAGTTGCATGTGTAAGAATATGACCTACAGACAAAGCTAACAAAGCACTTTATTCTTTCTTTACATTTATTTTCTATTTATTTTGATCTTTTATATTTAAAGGCTTTAGTAGCACATTTGCAAGTATATATGGTTCACATAAAATCACCATCCCGGTCTCTTTCCAGGGATTTCTGTACTGTGTGAACAGTATGTATCACTGAATCTCCTCAGAACTCAAGAACACCTACCTCTGAGTGTTTTTCCAAGCAGTATAAAAAAGCCAGCAGTACTCCAGCCTTTAGATGCCCTTTTGATTGGTCTTTAGTTACTGTTAAAAAGAAATCAAAACTGCAGCCAGAGTTGTACCAGACTTCTACAAGACTCCTGCCCCATCAAGCATTTTCTCCATAAACGAGTGAAATCAACTAGGAATGAATGAATACTGCTCTCATTCAGTGTTGGTTTATCTCCCTCTTCAGCAAAGATATAATCTGTCTCAACATGCAGCTAACACATCTAAAGTTCTTTAGGATGTATAGACAGCTGCTCTCTTCCCAGCTTGTCACCACAGGAAATAAAATGTGATCCTACTAAGCTGTATCCTTGATAAATATCTTGGAAAGGTGCGCTTACCTACATCTACAGTGGATGCAGAACGAGGAGCTGCACCATGCAACATGTCATCTTTCTGTACCAAATGTTCTACTGACTAGATATATGGAGCTGTACTATGGAGCATGTTTCTAATGCCTAGTGGAAATGTTCCATGTAGAGCTGCTTTCTATTATTTGTGGTATTTATCATCTCATTCTTATTGAAGGCAAAATAACCTATCTTTCAGATCTAATAATAAAATGTGGTTGATTGTGAAAACATCACCATGTTTAGTCCATATTTGTGGGTTCTGGTTTGTACTGGAATCAGAAGGAAAAAACTGACTCTAAAAGGCTGCTCTTTAAGTCAAGCTGGCTACACGCATGACCAGGGGTGTTCTATCAGGGCCTGAATCACACCTGATTTACCACCACAGCAAATTTGTTGCACAGAATGTTCAGCTTTCAGAATACCTGTGTGTTTCACCTGTGTGTTTTGTGTGCCTTCATCTCTCCCCTTTATGTGTCTTTATTCTACACAAAAGTGGGATATGATCCTTTCTTTTTATGTTTTTAGGAGACCACTGGTTCTGTCTTCTATCTCATCCTGGATGTAGTAGATTCTGAATGCCATGTACTCAGCAGG